GAAGATGTGTGAGGTTAGTGAGCTGTGTGAGAGGGAGTTGGTTTGTGTGAGCAACGCAGGAGGAGAGAGAAAGATGTAGTGGCTGTGAGGATAAAGTCTGATAGAGAGGTAGGGAGAGGAAGTGAGTGAAAGCCAGGGAAGGGAAGGATCCGCGGGGTGAGTGAGGTACATGAGGGAGTGGAGTGGGATTGCTGGAGCTTGGAAGAGAGCAGGACCGGGTGAGCATCAAAGGGGAGAGAGAGAAGGTGTAGGCAGCGTGAGTAGAGTCCGTGGCGGTGGGGGAAAGACGATGTGAGTGGGGACACTTAGGGTATATTGCAAGTAGTGGACAAAGAGGGGCAGTGGGAGAGAATGATCAGCGTGTGTGTGTGTGGCCCAATAGGGGTCGGTAGGTGGACAATGGTCGCCGATTTTGGTGACGAAAGTGAATGAAAATGGTGTGCGTGCGTGGCCTGGTATAGGTCGAAACTTGGCTAATGGTCACCGATGTTGGTGACGGGAGAGAATGATCAGAGTGTGTGTGTGTGGCCTGGTAAGGGTCCAGAGGTGGTTAATGGTCGTCGATGTTGGCGACGGGAGAAAATGATCGGAGTGTGTGGCCCGATAGAGGTCGGTAGGTGGATGATGGTTGCCGATATTGGTGACGAAAGTGAATGAAAATAGTGTGCGTGCGTAGCCCAGTAGGGGTCGATAGGTGGTTAATGGTCGCCGATCTTAGTGGTGGTGGCATCACTGGCACACCTGGGGGTGCCGTTGGGGGACGGAAACCCTGAGTAGGTAGGATTGTGGGATACGGGGGGGACTTGGGTTCAGTAGTGAACCGTTGGTAGAGACATGGGGTTTTATATTGTTGCATCTCACACCTGTATTTTAATTTTTACCGTACTGAGTTATATGAACTCACTATTTCCTCTTTACAGATGATGTAGGAACAAAGTCCGGATCGAAGTTGTTGGCGTCCGAACCTAGTGTGTAGAGTAGCAGGATAAATATTTTTGTTTCTTTTGACATAATGGAGTGTGTAAAAATTGATGGTAGCATAGATATTGAGTACGGTTGTATTATATGCGATACCTTGTGCATGACTGTAGGTTTATCTTGATCATTGAATAAGAGATCGTGATAGTATTTCCTTGTGCATAACCGATTGATTATGGAATTGGTTGTTTTGTTAATTACGCCCTAAACGTGAAAAGAAGGAAAAAAAAAAGGAGCGTTACAAAACCAGTCAGACACCAGAAATGAAAGAGAGAAGAAGGAGATAACATATGAGATATGCTTCAGAACTATTTGAATTTTATATTTCTAGGTCAAATCTGATTGAAATGAATTTGTAAGGGTAAAATTTTGGGGGAAATTTTTTCCATATATAAATTTTGTATCCATGTTTTACATTAATTTTTTTTTTTATAAATTAAATGTTCAAAATCTACGAAAGTAGGTGGAGATATTGGATTTTTAGTATCTGAATAATTCTCAATAACGTAGAAATAAGAACTATTTTTTTGCTATGATTTACAATAAATTCAAAATTTATTAAAATTAAATAAAATTTTGTATGAGATTTAATTGAAATTTTTTTGACCAGTTGTATATATTTCACATTTTTTTATTAATTAATAATAAAAAATTAATTAATAATTTGGTATTTAAATTACAGAAAAAGGAGAAAGAAATCTGCTGTAAAAAAAGGAAGAAAATCAGAAGAAAAGTAAAAATATTAAAAATATAAATTTGAAATTTTACTTAAAAAAATAGCCCAAAGAAAGTGAAAAAAAAAATAAAATGTGTTTTTTTAAAAAAAAATTATTTAAGTGGTGAAAGGGTTGAAATAATAATTTTATAATTTAATATTATTAAAGCAAGATTTAAACAAGATTATTAAAGCAATAATCAGAAAAAAAAAAAGATTAATTTAAAGAAAAAATTATCATAATTATTAATGAATATATAAACTATTTAGTGTAATGTAAAATAAATAAAAGAATATTTAAGAATATTTTTAATCACATAAAAATTCAATAGTTCATCAAAATATGAAATTTAGAGATACCATGCAAATAAATAAATGTATAAATATCCAAAATATGAAATTTAAGGATGTAATTCAAACAAACATAAAAAGATTTTGTTGGCAAATCCAATCCCATAGATATCCATTACAGTCTTTGTGAGTTGATTCAATAATGATAAAGGAGAAGAAAGTTTTGTCGCCATGGACGGTGGGATAGCAAGCTCTCATTGATCAGAGTTAGAAGAGCTTGAGTGGATGGAGTTCATGTCCAGCCAACCTGGGGGCATCTTCATCTCATCGTCCGAATCAGCTGGTCCTTCAGTTTTTGATCTCTTAAATGGTGAGTTTCTCACTATACTCTTTCTTTTGTCGGGTAAATTTTCATTACCCATCTGTTGAAAATCTATCTCAGCTCCAGTTGAGGAATCTTCATTGCAGGTGTTGTTTGAATTTTTGGAAAATCCGTTTCCAGTTACTTTGGTGCTAGAGAAGCCATCAAAAAGATGCGAGTTTTCTTGGAAATCAAGGTATGTGTTTGGATTCCCAGAAAATCCAACCTCATCAACTGTAGGCACAGAGGAGCCGGGGAAAAAACTTTGGAGACCAAGGTTATTGTTTGGATTCTTAGAAAATTCATTCCCATTAACTCTGGAGCTAGGGGAGCCAGGAAAGAAAGTTATGTTTTGGAAATCAAAGGTTTTTATTGGATTCCCAAAAATTGCATTCCCATCAAACTCAAAAGTAAAGGAGCTAGGAAGAAAAACATCTGGGTTTTTTTGTAAATAAGAGTTTTCATTTGGATTCCTAGAAAATCCATTCCTAAGAGCAGCATTGCTAGAAGATCCATGGAAAAAAGTTGAGTTTGACTGGAAACCGTTGTTTTTGTTTGAATTCCCAAAGAACCCATCCCCTTCAAACCTATTGCTAGTGGAGCTTGGAAAAAAATTTGGGTTTAGAGGAAAATTAAGGTTTCTGTTTGGATTTATAGAAAATCTATTCTTATCCACTCTATTGCTACAGAAGCCAGGAAAAAAATTCAGGTTGGCAGGTAAATCAAGGTTTTTGTTTGGATTACTAGAAAAACCATTTCCATCAACTCTACTACTACAGGAACCAGGAAAAAAATTTGGGTTTGGAGGAAAATCAAGGTTTCTATTTGGATTTCCAGAAAAATCATTCCCATCCACTCTATTGCTACAGGAGCCAGGAAAAAAAATTGGGTTTGAAGGAAAATCAAGGTTTCTGTTTGGATTTCCAAAAAATTCATCCCCATCCACTCCATTGCTACAGGAGCCAGGAAACAAATATGGATTTAGAGAGAAATCAAAGTTTCTGTTTGGATTTCCAGAAAATCCATTCCCATCCACTCTATTGCTACAGGAGCCAGGAAAAAAATTTGGGTTTGGAGGAAAATAAGAGTTTATGTTTGGATTCCTGGAAAATTTGTTCCCACCCAATCCAGTGTTACAGGAGCCATGAACAAGATATGGGTTTGTCTGCAAATAAGGAAACTGGAGGCCATTGTTTGAGGCATATAAAGATGGAAACAGATTTTGATGAGATGATTTTACACCGCAAAGGTTATTTAAAAATTCATTTGTAAAATCTCCCCGATATGCATTCCTATCAGCACCAGACAACTTATGAAGAAAACCAGGTTTTGTTGGGATATCAGGGTTGTAAAACCCATGAGTGAAGAAGGGCTTATCTGGGTCTTGACCACCATAACCAGGATGAAAATTAGGGTTTTGATGGCTTTGAAACAAGGAAGAATCAGGGTCATACCGGTTAATCTGATCTCTAACAGATGTTTTAGAACATTCCTCAGGAGATGAATTCCCAAGACTAGAAAATCCCAATTCTGGATCATCATTAAAAGGCCTGTCATTAGAGCTCTGATCACCATCTCCAGGAATTGTATCTTCTAAATCCTTACGTTCAAGTTTCTCGGATTTTCCTCCATCGGAAAGAATTTCCTCAACAGTGCAAGTTCTTATCAACTTGGAAGCACCTTTGCCAATTGGAATCATCCGGCATTGGAGAATTCGTTGGATGTTATACTGGTTTAAATCATAGTTGGTCATTGCCTTGCGGCCTTCCAGCCTTATATATGCTATGTCATAAGCTCTTGCAGCTTCTTCTTCAGTATCTGATACAAAAACATATATATATAATATGTTATCATTTGCCTTTAAATGATTCAGATTTGCAATTTTTGGAGTATATTTTCTATAGGTATATATATTTCAAAATTATTTTATGTACAAATTTATACAACAATCACATTGGAATACTTGAACTCATAAACATTATTGAGTAGTGGACTTACCAAACGATCCAAGATACAAAGATTTCAAACCCGCGCTTTTTCCCAATCTCGCTTGCCATTTCTTAAAATCCGAGTTCCTGTTTCATAACTCTACCATTAATTGAGCTGATAAAGAAATTAGAGCAAGAGGGTTAGAGAAATAAAAAAAAAATTTACCGTGAAACTCCTCGAAATTTAGATTCACCTTTTGCGAAGCCCATACTGTTTCTGAAATTCATCAAAGTTGATGCTCAAAATAAATATAAAATATTTTAATACTCATAATTTGCAAAGAAAATTCACCTTCTGATTGCGAGAAAATATTGCTTCTTGGATAAAGTTTTCATTTCTTCTATATCTTTAACATAGTCGAAAGACTGTAAAAAAAATAAATAAATAAAAAGTTTAATAGCAAAATCATATATGATAAAATCGAAATATCAATTATTTTTCAGTCATTTTCTCGTTAAAAAGCTCAAGTTTTAATAATTGCGCTCTAAAATTTTTGAAATATATATATTTACGTGGATACAATTATATAATTAAATTATACAAAGATAGAAAGGAAAATAAGTAATTTATATTCTATTATTTCATCGTAATTATAGGATAATATTAAACTTACTGGAAAATTCAATGGCACAGATTTTTGCCATAACTTTAAAACTGCTAAATCATATGCTCTTGCAGCAGCAATTTCGTCCTTAAACCCGCCTACAAATCGAATATGAAAAAAAAGTCTACGTTAATTTCTTGTTTTCCGTATGTTCTCAAATAAAAGATTATCAAACTCGATCATAACACAATTAACAACAAGAAAATCACGAATGCTCGTAATCGGAGATTAATTTCTTTTGCCATACGATAATCAACATTCTTCGAATTAAAATTTTCACTAAATTATAGTTTATGTTAAATTATTTTTGTAAGATAATTTACGCTAAATTATTAATTAAAAAACAGTTGAATTTTTTATAATAAATTATAAGAAAATTATTTAAGCATGAAGTATGAAAGTTTACTCACCGATATAAACTGTAACCACGAAAATACAAAAAAAAAAAAAATTAGTAACAGATTAAAATTGCTAAAAATAATTAAATAATTAAATTTAATAATATAAAAAAAATTTGTGTTACCTGTTTTTCCTTTACGATTTGGGTTACTGTTATCCCACAAAAATGCTTCAAAACGTCCGGTTATTTTATTTCTGTATTTCATTAAATGTTAATATACTTTAAATAACTTATATAAGTAATTTTAAAATATGTATAATAATTTTATACCCTAATAGTATTATATATAACGGTATGCATCTATAAAAATATTATAGATAATAATTTAATATTCAAGTTCACGTGTATAAATATATAAAGAGAAAGAGAATGACTAGAGTGACAAACCTTGTAACTCCACGAAAAATAGAAGTTTTCGTGCCGAATACATATTCAGACTTCATATCACGTTTTTTTGACCGTCTTTTTACTACGTTATTTTCATCACCACTTTCGCTAGGAACATTATTTCGTCTGGCAAAAGAATATATTATAATAATTAATAAAATTATTTTTTTTGTTATAATAAAAATAATATAAACTAAATAATTGAAAAGTCCAATTTTTTTATATATATTAATGAACTATATAAATTAAGAAATCGATAAAATAGTCAAACCTGATTTCTTCTTCTTGCTCGTTGATGATGT